CTAGAGTAATGGGAAACCTGTGATAGAGGTCTCCCAGTTCCTGGAATGGGCCAACCTGGAGCCACAGTCCATGGTATGGCTGGCTGTCCTGCACAGAGTGACCATTGCTGAACAAGTGAAGCACCAGACCAAATGTTCTGTCTGCAGGCAGTGTCCTATCAAAGGCTTCAGGTAGGCAGCACACCCACAGTTGCAGTCCCTGCAGTCACTAGGGAATGACATAGGAATCAGTGATAGTAGGGCTACACTGAGGTGAATTCTGCCCAAGTACTACACAGACAGAGGCTTTGTTTCAGGGCCTCAGTGAAAAGTGTCTGGTGCTGCTTGGTGCAGCGCATGGGGAGGGGTTGTGGGGCTTGCTGCCTCTAGTTGGTTGTTCTGGAACCTGGCTTGGGCTGGGATCAATGTGAAGTTGGTATCACCACCTGTCCTCTGTGAAATGAGATGCATTCATTCTCAGTGCATAAATACCTGTCAGAAATCACCACTACAGCTTGTCCTAACTGGGCCCCATGCTGGCAACCTCAACAGTGACCCAGGATGAATGAGGTGACTGAGCTGACTTCTCCCACCTTTAGAAAGAGATGCATCTTTAGACCGAGTTAAGATATAATCTTATTAGGGCGGATAATACAAATAAACTTCACAGAGAACAAACAGCCTCTCTCTTGCCTCCTTGGGGAAGGAGCAGCTGGAAAGTCAGTTATTTATTTTCCTGCACATAGACAATCTGCAGCTGTGGACCTTCCAATTCCCTGGTGTAGTGCCAGTCCAGGTTGAGGCACTAAAGGGGAAAGCCTGCCTTGTGCACATTGTACCTGGCATGTGTGATGATCTCCAGGACATCAAAAATGTTACAGTGAAGTGTGTGCGCTGGGGTAGCTGTAGCTGAGAGGTGATGGAAAAAAGTTCTTTGCCCTGAGCTGGTGGAAGATTCAGGGGTTGGCCTGTGACTATGATAACAAAATAATTTAAGCACCTACAATAGCAGGGTTTCATATCAGCCTCTCCCCACCAGCAGCAACTGAGGGAGCTTGCTGCTGTATTGGGAGCAGTGAGAACTCAGTGTTTTTAGAATCAGTTGTATGCAAGAAAAAAACAGCTTTGTACTATGTGAGCCAGGTGCACTGAACCACAATGAGGTCTCAACCTGGCAGTCTTCCTGGGGGTCTCCCGGATGATGTTTCCTCACAGGTTGTTGCCATCTCCCCAGCTTCTCTTCATCTTCCCAGATATCGAAGCCTGAAGCAGTTCAATGTAGACATCTGTCAGACCTGCTTCCTGACAGGGCGAGCCAGCAAAGGGAATAAGCTGCACTATCCCATCATGGAGTACTATACGCCGGTAAGCAGCTGTGGCTGAGCATTCCCTGCTTTGTGTAGTCAGGGAGCCAGGAGCAGTCAACATGGGCTATTCCAGGTGACTGTTCATTCAGCACTGGGTATCTTTTCTGCCATCGTTACACATGGGCAGCTCAAGGAATGCTTTGCTTGACTCCACATGAGCCTGGTGGAAGCTACCTACATGGTTCTATATTGCAGATTACGAAGCTGTAACAGTAAATTCAGCTGCTGCCTGCCGTGCAACAATTTAGAAATAGGCAGTGATACTCGATATATGTGCATATGCCTATATGTAACATGTCACACTCATTTAAGTCCTTGTGTATGGGCTCTCATGTGCTCATTCCATGCTATATGGATGCACATGTTTACAGTCTGGAAAATGCCTCCCTCTATCTAGTTCAGGGCCAGACTTGGAGGACTGCTTTCTTTCGAATGTCCCCATCCCTCACTTATTAGAGTCTCTGTCTTTCTGCAGACTACGTCTAGTGAGAACATGAGAGACTTTGCTACAACCCTAAAAAACAAGTTCCGGTCGAAGCAGTACTTCAGCAAGCACCCGCAGAGGGGATACCTGCCTGTCCAGTCTGTGCTTGAAGCTGACTTCTCAGAGACGTGAGTGCTGGCCTGCAGACTGGTGCTACCCTGGCCCTGCCTAAAACAGACCCCACAGAAAGGACCTGCCCACTGAGGTGCAGGTGCGGGATTCTAGTCCCCTAGACAGGAGAGGCCAGGGGATGAAGGGTTCAGTTAGAGAAGACAGCTTGGGTGTCTGTGATGGCTGGAACAGAGTCTAGATCTTGGAAGAACAGAGATTTTCATTGGCTTGCACAGAGGGAGGGTTTGTTTGAGATGCTGCTTCCATTTTCCTGCCTGACCTTTATGGGAGCAGTGAGTCTCCAGCCAGCCCCTAGTTCTTCTGGTCCTAAATGAGATCAGGGCTGTACCTATGAGCCATAACTTTGAGTAAAGACTGCAGTGTTTTGCTGACCAGTGTGTGTGTCTTCCAGACCAGCCTCCTCCCCGATGCTACCACATGCTGATACCCACTCCCGGATTGAGCACTTTGCCAGCAGGTACTATGCTCTAGGCACCAGGTCATGAGTGAAGGAGAGTAGTGGGCAGGCGCAGTCCAGCACCCTCCCCCACACCCCACCTTCCACTACATTCACTTTACAGGTATGAGTTATGGCTAACATTGCCTTAGATCAGCTCCAGACTGTGGTGCCACCTTCCTGAGAGGTGGGAGGTAGTGACCAAACTTAAGGAGCCCTTTTGGAATGGGATGCCCAAATGAATGACCTGTCTTATCCCACCTGCACTGCTGTTGCTTTTGGCTGGGATGCAGCTGTTATATTTATACAAGATCTTTATTTTCACTGAGAACTTCCTACTTATAAGTGTGTAGCTGAAGTTTAGCAGGGGCTCTTTTGAAAGAAGAAGAAAGTGATTGAGTCCTTCATGCCTTGACCTATCAGGGGCTTTTCCCAGCAGCCCTGTTTCAGACATCCATGTAGCATTCTGTGGTTCTTGCATGGTGCCCTCATAATCATCAGTAAATTAATTCTCCCAGTGCCATGGGGGGGCAGAGCTTATCCCCATTGTGTACATGAGGAGCTGAGGCACAGACAGACTTGCTGAAGACTATGCAAGGTAATAGGAATTGAACCTGCATAGTGCCATCACCACTGCACCCACCTTTCATATAGCACTGCAGCACTTGTGAATGTGAAAGGATCTGCTGGTTGTGAGGCCTGGATGGCCTCAGCATAGAGGGTGCATCTCCCAAAACAAATTGTCTAGATGAACAGTTTCTTCCTAAAAAGTACAAAATTACTTAGGATCTAAATAGAAGTTGAGTGACAAGACACCCTGGGGCAGAACAACTGGGCAGGATTCTAGTGCAGGGACCCAAAGAAGTGTAGGTACACGGAATGGATATACAGGCCCAATGACTCTCCTGGGAAGGTATCAATCTGGTTTTGTCTCCTTCAGGCTCGCAGAGATGGAAAGTCAGAACTGTTCCTTCTTTAATGACAGCTTGTCCCCAGATGATAGCCTGTGAGTGGTGCATCTTTTATGTGTTTTGAATGTGTTTGTCCATATGGAGAGATGCTGAGGTTCTCTCTCTCCAGGGGGTTTTGAGAAGAGTGCTTGCCTCCCGCCACACTTTACCCATCCCTGTCCTGTCTGTGGTACATAGTAACCATCTCTCCACAGGAATGGAACCAGGATGTCTTATCCTTTGCTCTAAGGAATAGATCAGTGTAGTACCCAACTTGTACAACCTCCTGTACAAATCATGTCCATGTGCTACAAAAAAGCTAATAGAATTCTGGGATGTGTTAACAAGGAAAGTCATAGGCAAGTTGTGGGAAGCGGTTCTTCCACATGTTTCAGTACATGTGGCCTGGCTCATGGGTATTGTGGCCAGTTTGGACATCACACTTCAGACAAGGTATGAACAAATTGGCAAGCATTCAAAGGATAGCAACCAAATGATTAGTGGTTTCAAAAACATGACAAATGAGGAAAGGTTGGAGGAATTGTATAGTATAGAGAAGAAAAGACTAAGAGGGATTAATAACAGTCTTTTTGGTACAAAAAGGGCAGTTTTAAAGAAAATAATCAATTGTTTTTGGGTCTACAAAGGACATGACAAGAAATAACAGGCTTAAACATACACAGGGAAGATTTAAGGTAGCTATTAGGGAGAACTTTCTAACCAAGAGCATGGTGTTAAGCATTGGAATAAATTGCCTGGAGAGGCTATGGAATCTACATCATTGTATGTTTTTAAGGGCAGGTTAGACAAACATTTGCCTGGGGTGGTTGATTATCCTGCTTTGAGCGGGGAGTTGGACTAGATGACCTCCCTTCCAACCCTATGATTCCATGGCTGTGTTTTCCACGCAGCCGTCTGGTTGGCTTTCCATCATTGATGCCTCTCCTCCTGGGGTTTGTGGCAGGGATGAGGATCAGTACCTGTTGCGCCACTCCAGTCCAATCACAGACCGAGAACCAGTGGGCAGCCAGCAGGCCAAGGACAGTGTCAACACCAATGATAAGGGGGAGCTGGAGAGAATCCTGGCCCATTTAGAGGATGAAAACAGGTACGTATGTGGGTGAATGCCTAAACTGGAATATGAGAGTGAGGTTGAGTCAAAGGGCAAAGGAACTAGGAACAGCATGCCAGACCAGCAACTGGGAGCCTGGAGCAGGGCCAGGGAAATGCTGACAGAGTCTTGAGCAAAAGACATAGAAGAAAGGATTTGAAGTATCCAGCTTATGTAGCTTACATAGGTGGGGAGACACGAGGCCCATCTTCAGGCACTGGGAAGGGGAACTCATATAATCAGAGAATCCACTGGTACAGCTTGGGTTTGGGGGGCTGGGGAAAGGGATATCTAGGCTGAATATTAGAGACTTTCTTCTTCAGTGTATGAGGTGCTAGAGTAGGGGTGGACAATAATTTGAGCTGGAGGCCACTTGGGGAGTTTTGGTGAGCTACCGTGGGACAGGTCAGCACCCCCTTTCTCCATCCTGCCCCCCTACAGATCAGCAAAACTCCTTTAGTAGCTCTTCTTCACACTCAGCTGGGATGGGGCCGCAGGGTGGCAGGGCTGGGACCAGGAACATGAAGCAGTGACCGCACAGGGCCAGGGCCTGGGGCAGAGTCACAATTCACTGCCTTCATGCTCCTGCAACAGGTGCTGGTTCTACAGACAGAGGTGGGCGGGGAGCAGATTTCACCTCTGCCCCAGGCTGTGGACCCATGCTGTCACTGTCCGCAATCCCGGTGTTTCCATGGAGACTGACTGGGACCCACTCAGGCAGGGCATGTGGCCAGGTGGATGGAATGGGGCTGTGGGTGAGCAAGGAGCTGCATCCAGGAATGGAATAGTTTCATAGTTGGTAGGGTCGGAAGGGACCTGGGCAGATCATCAAGTCCGACCCCCTGCCATGATAGGAAAAACTACTGGGGTCTAACCACCCCAGCGAGGTGTTCATCTAACCTCCTCTTAAAGACCCCCAGGGTAGGAGCCAGCACCACTTCACTTGGAAGTTGGTTCCAGATCCTAGCTGCCCTGACTGTGAAGTAGTGCCTTCAGATGTCTAGTCTGAATCTACTCTCTCCCAGCTTGTGACCGTTATTTCTAGTCACTCCTGGTAGCGCTCAGGGGAACAGGGACTCCCCCAATGCCTGCTGGTCCCCTCTGACTAGTTTATAAATGGCCACTAGATCCCCCCTCAGCCTTCTCTTGTGGAGGCTGAACAGGTTCAGGTCCCTTAGCCTCTCTTCGTAGGGCCTGCCCTACTGCCCCCTGACCATGCAAGTGGCCCTCCTCTGGACCCTCTCAATGCTGTCCACATCCCTCCTGAATTGCGGCACCCAGAACTGAACACAGTACTCCAACTGCAGCCTGACCAGTGCCACATAGAGGGGGAGGATCACCTCCTTGGACCTGCTGGAGATGCATCTGTGGATGCACGACAAGGCGTGGTTGGCCTTCCTGACTGCGTCCCCACACTGTCGGCCCATGTTCATTTTGGCATCAATAATGATTCCAAGATCCTTCTCTGCCTA